TAATGCAAGATTAAAGATTATTTTTAGGTTTTACTGGCTACAATTTAGTCAGACCTAGCTTTGAGGTAGCATGGGTCTTTCAGTTATATATTTTGAAGAAAGACGGGATACAGACAATCAGAATAGGTAGCTATGAATACCTGTTACTGAAGTCTTCCATTGTTGTAGACTATTTTGTTTTCTGTTGTTGTTTGTTTGTTTGTTTGTTTGAGACAGGGTTCCTCTGTGTAGCCCTGGCTGTCCCGGAAGTCACTCTGTAGACCAGGCTGGCCTTGAACTCACAGAGATACGCCTCCCTCTGCTTCCTGAGTGCAGGCATGCCACACTACCTGTCATTTCATAGATGCTCCACCAGATGAGAAGTTATTCAGGAGTCCGCAGGTGCAGGACCAAATATCACTTGTTAAAACTGAGAAGCTAATGAAAAGCATACTAACTGCATTATATCTTCAATTAAGTGTATTTGGTAATATCAAACCCTAGAATTAAAGACTGACTCATCCATTTGTAGCTAAACCAGATATGCTTGGGTTTTATTAGAGTTGTAGCATGAAGGAACAAAGGAAATGCTAGCTTCTGAAGCTATTTGTTAGGAGAAAGTGTTTAATATGTCAGAGGGCCAGAGAAGTAAGGGATGTTACTTATGTCAGTCAGAAACAGGGAACCATTTCTCTGTTTTCCCTTCAGCAGTGTTTCCTAAGAGTTTCACAGTGTGCTTGGCATGCGGTATCACTCAATGCCCAACTACAGAGTGATGAGGAATTCCAGCATCTTCCACTATGACTCAGTCTGTTTATTTTATCTTCCTGTGTGCATTATTATTTGAGAAACAACATGATTGTTATGCAGTATTATTACTTTTTGAATTTGTATGAGGCAAAATTTAGTAGTTTTAAAAAGACTTTCTGGACCTAGTAGAGTTGGTGCTTTAAACTTTTGATGCAGTAGTGGTTCTTCTGTAAATCTAATGTACTTACGTACATGGCATAAATTATGCCTGTCATTTCTGGGGATACAGAAACCTCGGGGAAAGAATTATGGTTTGGTTCCAATGTAAATAACTACAAATACCTATCCATTACTGTAAACTGATAGCAGTCGATGGCTATTAAGCAAAGAAATACAGTTAATTAAAACAGTTGTGAGTAATTAAAGGAAGTCAGACATACACACATGTGAACTTCCCGTGCATGCAGAAGGTGTTCAGTGTAGTGACCATGAAGAGAGGGAAGGTTTGAGTCATTCGTCATCTTCCAGTATGACTTGGTTGTTACACTTCATCTTCCTATGTGCATTGTAGCTTGAGAAATAGTGTGCTTTTCTCTGTAGAATTACACTTATAAACATTTTTACTTAGATCATTTACCCTAGTGTTATTTCTTTAGTCATGAAAGTAGTGAATTGGTGATAGAACAAAGAGAAAATACATATGAAGCATTAATTCTGGGTCATATACAAAGTATTTTCTTGCTCTATGTTGCTGTTTTTTTGTTTTCATTAGTTACCATTTTTGGCCTTTCTAAATCCACCCTGGTTTTCCTGTAGGTTTTGGTGTTGAAGTCATTCTGAACTTTATAACTTGAAAGTCATATTATTCCGAAAAAAAGATTGATCCTTTACATCTGCTTTTGTTTTTTTCTTTTTAGTTTCTGTGGTCTCTGATTTTTCTATAATAGGGAAGAGACTTTTACTTCCTGCTTATGGCTCATCAAGAAGGTCTTTGGTAGCCTTTCAAACTTTCCCTGCATCCTTTGCTTCCCCTTGATGTGTCCTAGCTGAGAAGTCAGTTTGGTAGCTCTGGACTCTTTGGAAACATCATAAAGGTATCTGGCCTGTCAGCCCTTCTGGAATACTTAGGGCTTGATGTGTTTTCTGAAGAAGAAGCTTTACCTTTGTCCCTTTTTTTCCTGATTAATAGTTCAAGTATGCAAGTTTGGTTTTCCAGAGAAGAGCTGCAGACCCCACTATTTTATAGGCTGGCCTTTGACACTGCTATTTTTGTTTAAGGATCTCATTGTTAACTAAGCAGTTCCAGTTGACACTTAACTTGTAAAGCCCTCTTTTGGTAGACTTCTAAATGTTTTGGGAGGGTCAGTTTAAAATTTACCTGTTTTTCTTCCCTGATAGCCAAATGACATATGTTTATCCTGAAAAAAATTATTCAGAAAATATAGAAATTATAGGGAAGAAAATAAAGGAAATCAAGGTCTTCTGTAGTTTTATGGACCTACGGTGGCCAGATTTGCAATGTTTGCATGGTTTGCCTATGTCCTTCTCTTTGCATGGGCTTATGTCAATGTGCTTAAACAGTCATTCCCAAGCATGGCCCTTTGGAATACTGCTTTATAACCTGCTTTTTCTCCTGTCATAGCAATATAACTGCATCTTTATTTTGAAATATAGATGCTTTTCAATTTTTGTTAAGATTATGCTTAATAAGCTCATTAAAAATTGGAAATGCTAGATGGTGGTGGCATATGCCTTTAATCTCAGCACTCAGGAAGCAGAGGCAGGCAGGCAGAAGTCAGCCTAGTATACAGAATGAGTTCCAGGACAGCCAGAGCTACACAGAGAAACTCTTATCTTTTAAAAAAAAAAAATTTTTTTTTTTTTTTTTAAATAAAATGTGTTTAAGATGCTGTTTAATGGCTTTTCCAGCAGTCTGCCTAGCATATTCTGTCTCTAAAAGACAGCTACCAGGGAGGAAGCTTCCAGCTCAGTTCCAGCTTGATTTCTCTAAATCCACCAACCAAAATGTATTGTATCTTCAACAACAGGGTCCTATATAGTTCTGGTGGGCAGCCAAGAATGATGGCAGTAGCCTGTATTGTTCTAGGGGCTCTGTGGCCTTCCCAACTAACAACTGTGGCAGTATCCCACTTGGGGCACTGGGAATTAAGACTTCTAGGAGCATTGGTTACCTGTTTAGATTACCTCTCTTTAAACTTTTATTTTTAATTTATTTATATTTTTTAATTAGCTTATGAAGTAGTAGGTTTCCATGTGGCTTTTTCATAATTCTTTGTTTTGGTTAACACTCTTCCTACTATCTTAATCCCTATCCCTACTCAAACATTTCTACTTCTAATATTCCTCCTGCCTACTTTTTTTCATATCATATCTTCTATCATCTCCCTGTCCTGGTCAGTGTTCTGTTGCTGTAAAGAGAAACCATGGGCAAGACAATGCTTACAAAACATTTAATTGGGGTTTGCTTACAGTTTCAGAGGTTTACTGCATTATGGTGGGAAGCATGATACCAAACAGGCAGACGTGGTGCTAGAGAAGTCGCTGAGAGTTCTACATCTGGTCTGCAGGCAGCAGGAAGAGACAGACATTGAGCCTGACTTGGGCTTTAGAAACCTCAGAGCCCACTCCCAGTGACACACTCCCTCCAGCAAGGCCGCACCTCCTAAGTCCTCTTAGGTAGTGCGTTATACTCCTTTTTAAACTATTTCATTTGAGTCATTTTAAGCCTCTTTTTCCCTTCTACCAACCTTTAACCCTAGATAAGAGAGAAGGTTAGGGGGACACAAACCCCCTTACTTCTCCCAGCTACTTAGGGTTGATGGGTTCTTTGGGGGCTTTACCAGTCAGCGGCAAATGCAGCAAGCAGTCTCCTCCAAGCCACTGTGCTGAAACATTTCTCTTCATCTGCCTTGTCCAAGGCTCCACCATCTCTGCTTTTTCCAAACTGCCACACCTTTTCTTTCTTCGCTCTCCTATTTCTATCCTTGAGTCCTAGACCACACTCCTGCATGCTGCAGGCGGCAGGCCTTCAGCAGCTGACAAAGATAATGCCCCACAGGAGGCAGTTATCAGCTGTGGACAAACTAAAGCCCAAACTAAAATTAAAACAAAAACATATTTACATAACATAACTGAGTTTTTAAAGAAACCGAAACTTCCATTACAGTAGTGCCACTTCCTGATGTAAGCATTTAAATACATGAGCCTGTGAGGGCTTTCTTTATTCAAACCACCATAACCCCCTCACCTAAGGCAGTCTCCTACCTCTGCATACCAGGGGTCCCTCTCCAGTTTTCTTCTGACCATTAAACATGAATCTAAAATGATGAGAAGGCAACGGATTTTCACTTAGAAACTTAATTAGTCACAAATGTATTTACTAGCTCAATACTCTTTCTAATGAAATGTGGGTATTATCAGTCATTCTGATATTATTTTTTGTATGATAGACAAATATTTCCATGTTTAAATTTCTTCTTTTGGTTTTTAAAATTTAAATTTTTCTCATGTTTTTTGTTTTTTTTCCCCCTGTTTTCTGAGGTTAATTTTATATAATGTATTTTTTGCTTATTCCCAAAGGCTATGTGTATATATTTTGAAATTGAATAGAATTTTGTTTTGTATATTAAGTGGTAGAGCATGCTTTTGTTTTTAAGGTGTTTATTTGTTGAGTTCAATTTCTTACTTAGCTAGGTATTTTTAAATATTAGTATAAGCAATTAAGTAACTAAATTCAGGCTTGTTAGAGCACTTTCCTTGTATAAAGTCTAAATAAAAAGGATGGACATTATTGACATTATTAATGCTTGTTTGCGTGTTAAAATAGCTAATTTGGCTTAGCTGCTTCTTTGTATACATTTAGTTCTTGACTATGTTCTCAGTGAGGTGTGTATGGTTAAAATACTATATTTATATTTGTATTTTTACATGTTTTAACCTGCAAGTTGAAATGAAATGAAATTGTTGATTTAAATACTTGTGATTCATTCATTTATTTATCTATTTATTTATATTTATTTATTTCCAAGATAGGGTTACTCTGTGTAACAGCCCTGGCTACGCTGGAACTTGTTCTATAGACCAGGCTGGTCTTGACATCGCAGAACCCTGCCTGCCTCTGAGTGCTGGCAGAGGTCTAAGTGTGCACTACCGCTGCCCAGCTTTGGTTGTGGTTTAACATCAGGAGAGAAGATGCCTTGGCAATGATCTTTCCATGTGGTAAAGCACATGCTTTTATTTATTATTTTTAGAAGAAAAACAACAGTGAAGACATTATGTATTTATGCAGACTATAAATCTGATGAAAGCTACACTCCAAGCAAAATCTCAGTCAGAGTAGGAAATAATTTTCACAACCTTCAAGAAATTCGGGTATGTGTTTTAGTTTTTGTTTTTTTTTTTTTTTAAGTTGCTTTAACTCATTCTATATATGATACTCATAAAATTATGCATATAATATTTATGTTCTTTTGGTCTGCCATCTTTTCTTTTCCTAATGCTTTATTATCGAATTATCAGGTATAAGAAAGGCTCAAAGAATTGTACAGAAATTCCCTCACCTTGGGAATGCGTTAATGTTTCTCTGTCTTTGCTTTATTAAAATCATGTTTTTTAAAGTATAACTTCCATTTTATTTGTCCGGAGTGTTTTTTCTCTGTCCTTCTGTCACCAATGCCTCTGTCTTTACATGAGCTTTGGTGGAGGTCGTGGTGCGGCACCAGCAGTTCTGAATGGTGGTGGGGTTGTTCAGTCCTTCGGGCCTTACGCGATCCATTCCTGACCACCTTGCTGTGAATGTCACTGCTCATGTACAAATGCAGCTTGACATAGAGTGTGGGAAGCACACAAGCGAAGAAGACACTTGCTTCAGATATGTCCATTGCAACAGCAGCCTCCACAGTGCTCAGAATGACGAACTTCTCAGTGGCCTTGTCCCTGGGCACGCATGGGCGCAGTTGGGGCCGTGAGTTGGCCGCACGTGGCCACAGCCCTTGTTAGCGCTACTGTTTTTCTTTTTTTTGTCATCTTGGAGCCAAGACCCAAGAGCTATGAAAATCATTTTAATTCATCAGAGTAAGTTACAGTTTGCTGATGACATGTAGGGTGCAGGAACATGCTTTCTCTGCTGATTAAAGAGTTAAAAGGCAGGAAACAAGTGTTACTAGAAATCTTGGCAAGTCCTGCTGGTGCCACCGTATGGTACTTAGGAAATCAGGGTCTCCTTTTGGGGTTTTTTCAGTCTCATTAATGAGAGTAAAAAAAAAAATAATGGACACTTGGAAGCTCATGGACAATTTATAGTTTAAAAGAGAGATAAGGACAGATCTCCAGCTGGAGATAGATTCCATTGTTTACTATAACATTTATTTTAAACATGTGAGCATGATATTATTAGTAAGAGTTATCAGTCTTTACTTAATATTCATTTTAAGAGAAACATTCAGTTTTATACAGATCTTAAGTGTATTATTTGCTGAAGTTTAACAAATGCATACATCTATGTAGCCTCTATTCCTTTAAAATATGGAGCATTTTTCTCTCAGTTTCTATTTTCATGGAATGTCTTTTTAGTCCCTTCACTCTTGAGTCTGTATATGTCTTTAAATATGAGGTCAGTGTCTTGTAGGCAGCAAGTACTAAGTTGGGCCTTTACTATGCATCAGTGTTTGGTTGAAGGATTTAGTCCTCTATATTCATAGTGATGATCAATAGGCTGGGATTTGCTGCTGCCATTTTTTCACTGCCTTCTGATTACATTAGGTCCTTTGCACCATCTTTTATTTTGTCTTGGTAATCTTTATTCACAAGTTTTATATAAAAGATTTTATGGTTGTCATGGCTATTTATTGTAAAATAATAACAGCTTACCTTTGATTGCATAATTTTACTTGACTGCCTCATGTTTTGTTTTGATGCCAATAAGTGTATACCTTTTAATACAGAATCATTGTGTTTTTTTTTTTTGGTTTTTTTTTTTTTTTGCGGGGTTGGGGGACGGAAACAAGAAACAAATATTCATACTAAGTGGGTGTTTTACTTAGGGTTACCCTTGCATTGGTGAAACATCATGACCAAAAGCGTCTTGAGGAGTAAAGAGTTTATTTTGTTCGCAGTTCAATATAACTTATCGTTAAAAGCAGTGAGGGTAGGAACTCATACAGGGCAGAAATCTGGATGCAGGAGGTGATGCAGAGGCCATGGAGAGCTGCTGCTGCTTGCCCTCTTGCTTCTCCTGGCTTGCTCATCCTGCTTTCTGTAGAACCCAGGACCCCCCACCCAGCGATGGCACCACCTACAGTGGGCTGGGTCCTCCCATTGATCACTAATTTAAGAAAATCCCCTACAGGGTCCCTATAGCCTGACCTTATACGGCATTTTGTCAGTTGAGGCTCCCTCCTCCCTGATGACTTTCACTGTGTCAAGTTGCCATAAAACTAGCCAGGACACTCAGGATACACTGAAGAAACAATTTCATCGAACTCTAGCCTAGTGAATCAGCGAGTTTTGGAGGTTACTTCCAGAAGCATGTCTCAAAAGCAGCTGCATCACTGAAAAAAAGCCCATCCCAGCAAAGTTTTGGTGCCGCCTTGTTTGGATTAAGTCTGGTTAGGAGTATTTGACCTTCTTGTTCCTGTTTTTTTTTTTTTTTTTTTTTTTTTTTTTGTCTTACCCCTGATTTGGAAAGGATTTTTGCTCTTACACATTAAGAATTGTAAATGTGTAGGTGTGTATGTTTTTGTCAGTGTATGCACACATGCATGGGGGAGACTTTGTTAGGTCCCCTGGAACTAGAGTTACTGGGAGTCGTGAGCTACTGGACTTGGGGGGCTGGTCCTCTAAAAGGACAGCAAGCACTCTTAACTGCTGAGCCATCTCTGGCCTTTCGTCAGTTCTTTAAATAGCCTTGTCACTTGTTCTACCTGAGCTCCTGTAATCTACTTTATTTTTTATTTTTAATGTTGTCATAAATTTTGCAAGCTTTTTTCAGAACTTCACAGTTTTCCTTTTGTGGTATGTTTTCATGGATTCTTTAGATTATTTCTGCTCTTATGCATGTAAATTTTTATTCATTGTATGTTTTAGCTATAGAATTTGTTTCATTAATAAAAACCTTCCACTTCTTGCATTTCTTATTTTGGTTATTTTTTTGTATTATTTTAAAAATTATTCTATTTTCTTAAAGCTTCTTGAGTGTTCTTTAAGTATTTAGTTTGAATTTCAGGCAGTTTAGGGCATACCATTTCCTCAGTGGCAGTCAGTGGGGGTTTATTTTGTTTCTTTGGTTGAATAGTATTTCATGGATTGTTCTTAATGCTTACGGCATGATCTCACTGTCTCTGTACTTGAAGAAGAATGAAATTATTCTGGTCTTTGAAGACTGTCTGGGAAAGCCCATCACCAACCAGCCCATCTGGAGATGCTGGGAAGGACAATTGATACTCTCCATGGCTATGTTTGCCATTGGAGTCCTCTCCTAGGCTGCCCTACTTCTAGTAGATGAGCTGGTATGTAAGTCTGGTATCTCAGCAGAAGCAGAGCTTGTTTTAATGAAGGACAGCCAGAAGTCTGTGTCTACCAGGGGCTGTCATAGCTTTGTGGTAGTCTTGATTCTGAGTGTGTAAGGGTTTATCATATGCTGGGATAGATCTTGGAACCTACCATGTGTTAGGATGGACCTGATGCCTGGGCCCGTTGGTGCCTATCATATGATGGGAAGGACTTGTTGCCTAGGCCCATTGGAATAGATCTAGAACCAAACTCTATGGGTGCTTTCCAATGCTAGGGCACTGGGTTAGATCTGAATCCTAAGTCCAGAGGGGCATGCCTAAAACCTGGATCGGTAGCAATGATTATGGAACTTCAGTTTTTGGATGTTGGACTGGTATTAGGCACTGGGGTAGACTTGATTTTGGGTGTGGTTGACTAAGCCTGGTCTCTAGGGTCACCAGAGCCTGAATTTATAGGATTCTTTGTAAGTTTGCTTTGTGGGTGCAGGCTTGTAGGCTAAATCTGCAGGATCTGCTTGTGTCTTGTGGTTTAAAGTGCTACTCTGAATAAAAGCCCATAAGTGTGGTCTTACAGCATGGAATTAAGGCTGCCAGACCAACATTGGTGTCTGCCTAGGGCAGGTCTTGATCCTGTGTTGTGGTTTATCCTGACATGAGTGAAGGCATGTACTGTTGTCTGTGGATGCCACCCTACAGCCTTGGCTTGATAGCAGGATCAGCAGATGTTAGCCTAATGAATAGAACTCTGGGAAGGATGGTATGCTAGGGTAGGACTGAAGCATGAGGTCCAGCTTGTTAGGACAGTGTAGAGCTTAGAGTTGCAAGGGCTGCTGTAGCCTAGAGACTAAGTCTAGTGTGGTGATGGGATAGGCTCAGAGCCAGAGGATGCCAGGCACTTCTAAAGCCTAGAGTCTGTCCTTACACAATGCAAGCTTGATGGGTAGCCATAATCATTGCTAGCCTTGAACTAACACCCCTCCCCCCCACCTTATGCTGAGATTACAGGTCTGTGCCATCACACTTGTCTTACTTAACTTGTAAAGGATTTTTCTTGAGTAATTTTAGTTTTTGAAATTATTGTAAATAATATACTTTTTGTTTGAAATGTCTGACAGCCTGCACCTTTTCTTGAATAAATGATAAATCAACTATTAATTTTCTTAGTTTTTCCATTTGCTCTAGTGTTTCTTAATTCAAAATACCTTGAATTTAAAATTTAAAATCACAGTTACATTTGATGAGTTGATTAGCCTTTTCGTCTTTTATCCAGTACAATTAATCATTTTCTTGTGCTGTGAAGACTTGGAACATTTAATTGTATGATTTATTATGTGGTTCATTTTATCAAAGTGGACTGCGCACATGGAGAAGCTTTTTGTGGGGGCAAGCTTTTCTCCTTTGGGGTTATAGCTGAAAGTTGTGCTAACCTGAGCTTTATGAAACATTGGAAATACTTGGGTCTAGTGTATGTGTTTGGAAGGCCCACTAGATGTCACTGTTGGCTTTTACTTTCTAGCAATCAGCTGAATGCTTCAACTGATGCAGCCATTTGTAGTTTTTCCTAGAATATGTTCACATTAAAAAACTCTGATGCATTTTGGGAAGTGTACATCTGTATAAAAGATCTCTGTATTTATGAAGATGTCTTCTATTCTCTTGTAAGTTTGATAGTACAAAATAAGGGTTTTGAGAGGTTAATAGGAGAACCTAAATGATATTTGGATCTGGAGGTATACTTTAATATCAAATCATTGCTTCTGTTATTTAAATGCTGAAGCATTACCTGTTTAGAAAATGGAATCTTGTAGGAAGTTTCTTAGTTTTCTCTTGCATAGTTCTGTGTGTGGAGATGACATGGCCTCA